GATCATATTATAGTAACTGAAATTTAACAGGGTCGGTTTAATGAAGAAGAAACATTGAAATTAATATTCGTTTTACATATACAGTATCAGATTATAATATTCGTGTAGAAGTCACCATCATTAAATTTTGGAAGTCCTTTTTTTTTTTATATAATAATCGTGCAAGAAAATTACTGTAGTTTCACATGCGCGGAAAATCTTCTTGGGATTTTCTAAGCATAGATGATGAGAAAATGCTTTTAACTCTAACACAAATATCATTTCATACATACTTGTTTACCAATTTATTTTGAAATATGCATATGAGAATTTTTCATGTTTATTAGATGAACAATAAAAATAATTTAGTCAAAATATTAAACTAGTATATATTATAGCCCTCTCATCATTTTGAGTATGCATATCTTTAAATGTGGATTAAAAGATATCGAAATGTACAAACAATTTCAAAATAATTTTACTTTAATTTTGAACTTTCAAATAAAAATTTATAGAGCAAACAATAATGTACGGGACGGAATCTCAACATTCCTCCTAATACATTAAATCAAAACGTGTTGAGCCTAGATGGCAGATTCTCACTCTTCGGATGTTGACATGGCGAAAACCTATACTTCGTGATGTTGTTTTTATATTATTTTTGCTTTGGAGTTAAGTTTGGTATTAGACATAAATAATTTTACACATATATTCATTAACTCAACACTCATGTTATACATGAGTATTAGTACTAGTATATGTGTAATTGTGTATTAGCAAATATATCAGTCAAAGTGAAATTTGGAAGTGAAATTTCGATTATGGACAAATAAAAATGAATAATTTAAATTGAAATCACAATATCACGATATTGTTTATTTAATTAAAAGTGTAGTCTATACGCATTTACAGAGTCAGTTTTATTGTAAAAGTTAATCGATGCATATTAGCATATTTATTTAGTGATGCGAATTAAGAATGGAAACAATAATATATATCAATTTTTCTAATTAATTTGGATACAGAGAATATGACATGATAATGGTATGTTTCTAACTTTTCTTACGTACTAATTTCTAAAAAAAAAAATAAAAAATCATTGAATATATCAGCTCGCTCCATTTTAAATAATTATTAT